GGAATATCTGGTTGATCTGGAGAAAAACACTGCCAGATATTTGGGCATAAAGGTTTGCCATGGTGACCTATTTGATCAGATTCTGATTCTGGCCATGAAGTCATGGGTCTGCTTAGTGACCTATTAAAGGAAGGGATCCACCAGAAACTAAGGCATACCCCAACACTAAGGTGGGCATCTTGGCCCCTCACCAGACCCTGGACAGAGAACTAGGTCACCCAGGACAACCAATCAGCTTCTCCTCTCCTGTTCTCAATTCAGTTCCATTTCTTAGGCATTTATTATGCCAGGTACCCTCCTAGGCACTGGGGAATACCAAGGCAACAGTAATCACCCCTGCACTTAAAAAGTTGTGGAGACATCCTGCACCCGTGAGGGTATCTTGTACTGGCCCCAGGTCTGCCTCTGGCACAACCCGAGGGAGAGGAGGAGAACCTGAGACATTTCTAAAGCCATTTGCCACTAAACTCCTGAGAAACGCAATCTCCTTTGAGCCAAGGAGAGGGGAGGAGCCAGCCTCACTCCTCATTGCTGTGTCCAAGACCCATTCCAGCCTCCAAGGGGAGGGCCCCACTGGAGCTCTGTCCATCCATGATAGCTGGACATGCCCAGGAGACCTGCCTCAAGGTTGGTTGCAAACAATCCCCTTTAGTACCTGGCCACAGGAGGAGCACAGAGGGGTGAGCTGGACACAGAGCCCTCACCATCCCTCCCTCTCTGGAAGTTGACCCTTAAGAATCAGCACACATTTAAGGAGACAGAAAAGCCACCCCCACCTCATCGACCCCACAGGTAGCCTGGCCTGGCTCCCTGCCCCAGAGAAGTGACTTCCCTGCAGCCCATGGCCACAGATAGGGCCTCTTTCCTTGTGTGTGTACAATTTATACAGTTCTTGGCCCAAGTCAGTCCCTTCACTATTTAATGTTTTGTAAGGAGGTGGTCAGCCCCGGTGGCAACACACCAATAAAAGTTGTTGGGTTGTTTTGGAAAAAAAAAAAGAAAATGAGCAAACAACAACAACAACAAAGAACTTGATTCTAAAGACCCATTATGGTGGCAGGGAAGACCAAGACACAAAGTCAGAAAAATTATTTTATAGAGTTAGAAAAAATAATAACAAAATTCATCTGGAAAAAAAAGGTCTAGAATATCAAGGGAATTAATGAAAAGAAATGCAAGGGAAGGTAGCCTATCCATAGCAGATCTTAAATTGTATTATAAAAGCAGCAATCATCAAAACTACTTGGTACTGGCTAAGAAATGTGGTGGATCAGTGGAATAGGTTAGATACATAAGACACAGTAGTCAATGACTATAGTAATCTACTGTTGGATAAACCCAAAGATTCCAGCTTCTGGGATAAGAACTCACTATTTGACAAAACATTGCTGGGAAAACTGGAAAATAGTAGAGCAGAAACTGGGCATAGACCAACATCTTATACTGTATACCAAAATAAAGTCAAAATGAGTACACAATTTAGATATAAAGGCTGATACTATAAGCAAATTGGGAGAGCCAGGAATAGTTTACCTGTCAGATTTATGGAGAATTTATGACCAAACAAGAGATAGAAAACATTATGAAATGCAAAATGGATAATTTTTATAACATTAAATTGAAAAGTTTTTGCACAAACCAAGCCAATGCAACCAAGATTTGGAGAAAAGTAGAAAATTGGGAAAAAATTTTTACAACCAGTACAGGCCTCATTTCTAAAATACATAGAGAACTGAGTCAAATTTGTAAGAATACAAATCATTCCCCAATTGATAAATGGTCAAAGGATATGAACAGACAGTTTTCAGATGAAGAAATTAAAGCTATCTATAGTCATATGAAAAAATGCTCTAAATCACTATTAATTAGAGAAATGCAAATCAAAACAACTCTGAGGTACCAAATCACACCTCTCAGATTGACTAACATGATAAAAACAGGAAAATGATAAATGCTGGAGATGTGGGAAAATCAGAATACTAATGCATTGTTGGTGGAGTTGTGAACTGATCCAACCATTCTGGAGAACAATTGGGAACTAAGCCTAAAGGGCTATAAAACTGTGTATACCCTTTGACCCAGCAAGAGTACTTCTAGGTCTGTATCCCAAAGAGATTATGCAAATGGGAAAAGGACCCACATGTACAAAAATATTTATAGTAGCTCTTTTTGTGGTGGCAAAGAATTGGAAATTGAAGGGATGCCCATCAGCTGGGTAATGGCTGAACAAGTTGTGGTATATGAATGTAATGGAATATTATTGTGTTATAAGAAATGATGAACAGGCAGATTTCAGAAAAACCTGGAAAGACTTATATGAACTGATGCTGAGTGAAGTGAGCAGAACCAGGAGAACATTGTACGCAGTAACAGCCAAATTGTGAAATGACTAACTTTGCTAGACTTGTCTCTTCTTAGCTGTGCAAGGATTCAGGACAACTCCAAAAGTCTCATGATGGAAAATGCTGTCCACATCCAGGAAAAGAACTATGGAGTCTGAATGCAGATCGAAGCATATTACTTTCTTGCTCTTTCTATCTCTTTTTTGTTTCCTCTTTCTCATGGTTTGTCCCATTGGTTCTAATTCTTCTTTGTAACATGACTAATGTGAAAATAGGTTTAATATGAATGTATATGTTGAGCCTGTATCAATATACATACCATCTTGGGGTAGGGGGAGAGGAGAGAGGGAGAAAATTTGGAACTCAAAATCTTGTGGAAATAAATGTTAAAAACTAAAAATAAATAAATTTACTAAAAAAAAATAAATACTAGAAAAAAAGAAAAAGAAATGATGAGGGGGATTTTTCAGAAAAAACACTGAAAACCTTTATGAACTGATGCAAAGTGAAGTGAACAGGATCAGGAATCATTTTATACATTAGCAGCAATAGTGTAATGATGTTTAATTGTGAAAGACTTAGTTGCTCTAATCAATACAATGATCCAAGACATTTTCAAAGGATTCACAATGGAAAAAAATGTGATTCACCTCCAGAGATAACTGAGCTCTGAGTCTAAATTGAAGTATAAGTTTTTACTTTATTTTTCTTACTTTTTTGTCATATGGCTAATAGGGAAATATGTTTTACATGATTTTCACGCATATAATTGATATATTGCTTGCATTCTCAGTGGGTATGGGAGGGATGGGAGGGAGGGAGAAAATTTGGAACTCAAAATTTAAAAAAACTTCCGCTAACAATTAAAAAAATATTTATTTATTTGTTTATTTTTAAATAAAGGGTCAGAGCCAAGATGGCAGAGTAAAGGCAGGGACTTGCCTGAGCTCTCCCCCATACCCCTTCAAATATGTTTTAAAAATGACTTTAAACAAATTCTACAGCAGCAGAACCCACAAAAAAAATGGAGTGAAACAAATTTCCAGCCCAAGACAACTTGGAAGTTTGACAGGAAAGGTCTGTTGCACCAGGAAGAAAGGAGAACAGTTCAGCACACGCTATGTTAGTGCAGACTGGGCCCCAGCAAATTTGGAACAGGGCTGGGGTGATGGCATCTCTGGCAGCAGTGGTGATTTCCAGACCTCTCAGCCCATAGACACCAAAGAAAACTTGAAAGGTCAGAAGAGGAGTCTGTTACATCTGGGTGAGAGTGGAGCGCAGTCTAGCACAGGCTGCACCAGTACAGTGCTCCCTACAGCAAACCAGGAGCAGGCCTGAGGAGTGACTGAATCGGTAGTGGCAGTGGCAATGGCTGCTTTCAGAGATCTCAGCCCACAGACAGTAAAGGGGTCAAACAACTGGTCAGAAGGAGATCACAGGGGTCTTTTTGTTAGCACTGAGGCAGGACTCTGTTGCTTTGCCCATACTTGTATATGAGTTGCAGTCATGGGTGGCAAGCTGAGGGTGAGAAGGAGCACTGGCACAGCAGAGCTTGTGGCCACAGTGGCGGGGGGGTATGCTTATCACAGTTTCAGGGCAGAAAAGAGTGCTTGTGTTCACTCACAGACCAGAACACAGGGCAGAAGAGTAGCAAACACCTCTCCTTTGATCATAACACCTTGGATGAACTGAAAACTTACAGGTCCCTAGAGGTATCTCTGAAAACAGCTACACAAAATCCCTGAAGCTTGGGACAGTATGCCCAAGCAGAGCCCTACTTTATCAAAGAGTTAAAAAGTAATAGGCTGGGGAAAATGAGCAAACAACAGAAAAAATTGACTATAGACAGTTACTATGGTGACAAGGAAGATCAAAACATGCACTCAGAAGAAGGCAACAAAGTCAAAGCTCCTATATCCAAAGCCTCCGAGAAAAATATGAATCAATCCCAGGCCATGGAAGAGCTCAAAAAGGATTTTGAGAAACAAGTAAGAGAAGTAGAGGAAAAACTGGGAAGAGAAATGAGAGAGATGCAAGAAAATCATGAAAAACAAGTCAACAGCTTGCTAAAGGCGATTCAAAAATTCACTGAAGGAAATAACGCCTTAAAAAACATACTAGGCCAAATGGTAAAAGACATCCAAAAAGCC